GTAGGGAAATGAAAGAGTATTTCAGTCCATGTCTGAGCAGATCTGCCGGACGGAGGAATGATCAAAGTGCACTAATCTTTCCCTGCAAAAGTCCCTCCTGATTAAAGGCCTGGAAATGCAGCAATGTAAAGGAGATCAGAAAGGAAAACCGAAAAAAGAAAGTGTATTTCTTTGCCTTAGGGCTATAGCCCTGAGATGTGCAAGCAAGGATGGTTGTTTGTATAAATAAATGTTCATTCTTGCCTGTGGAATGCAAACTATGCTGTAGGGCTGGAAACGGACCACTCTGCGAAGCTGAGGCCAGGGGAAGGGAGAGGCAGGGAGGTTGCAGGGAAGAAATTCACGTTCATTTTTAGCAACTTGGGCAGTTTCTCAAGCTTTTTTTGTCCCTGGCATTTCTCATTCCGCCGATGAGAATGCTTTTGAGAACAAAAATCAGGACTTTTCCAAGTCTTTAGTGGGAAATAATTAAGGGAAAAAAACCCGCCATGCCAGCTCTTCCCATTGTGCAAAGGGAGACAGGGATGCTGCACGCAGTGTCCCGTCTCCTGCGTCCAAGACAAAGGGAACTGGTATGTGCGATGCAGATTGTGTGCTTGGGATATGCGTTAAGTCCCAATCCTGCACAACGTTCCTGCGAGGGTAGTACCAACTACCAGGAATAGTCCAAGGAAAGGATGACTTCATGCCGTTGCTATTTGATCAGCTTCCTGCAAGGCTGGGAAGCTGTGCGCTGTGGCTGTTTACCCTGGCTGATTTAGGACCTGTAGCTCTACAGGGGGAAACCAGAGAAACTGAAATGTCTTAAGACAAAAATGTAGGGTTGTTGGTTGTAGCCGTGTTGGTCTAAGGACATGGGCAGACAAGGTTCTTTGGGCAGATGTGATATGTGTTATTAGATCAACTAAATAGTTGGAAAAATTGTTCTTTGACAGCCTTCGGGCACCTACGCCCTTCTTTGTTCGGGCCTGAAGAAGGGTGTTTGTGCCTGAAAGCTTGCAAAGAACAATTTTTCCAACTATTTAGTTGGTCTAATTATTATTAATAAAACAGTACTAATTAAAATATTATTAAAGACTATTAATACTAAAAGAGATTATTAAAAAGGTATTATTATTAATACAAGATATTGCATCTACCCAAAGAACCTTGTCTGCCTTCACACAAAGATGTGATTCTGCCACAGAAAGACATGCAAAAATCTAGAAGTCGTGGTTCAGAGATGATACCTTTTATTAGACCAACCAATAAATTGCAAAAAAAAATTATCTTTTTCTGCAAGTTTTTGGGTGCACGCGCCCTTCCTCAGGCTCAGGGAAAATTAAACATGGTAAAAAGTCCCCATAGGTAGAAAATAAACTTCATTTTTGCACGGAGGAAGCTGAAGGTGGAAGTCTGTTCCTCTGGGCCCATGAGAGTGTCTATCTTCTACCTATGGGGACTTTATACCATCTTTAATTTTCCCTGTACCTGAAGAAGGGTGTGTGTGCCTGAAAGCCTGCAGAAAAAGATAAAGATAAAAGAAAAAGCCTGCTTCTCACTCACTGACTCCTCAATGAACATCTTCACTGACTGCCTGTCTTGCATGCAGACCAGCCTCTGGCTTCTTTACTCTTCCTTCCATCCAGGAAGAGCACACGCCAACTGCAGATGCTTTGTCAGCCTGATGAAGGGTTTTTAAACCTGAAAGCTTGGAAAGAAAAATATTTCCAACTATTTAATTTGGTCTAATAAAAGATATGATTCACCCAAAGAGCCTTGTCTGTAGAAATATATATATATATATTTATTTATTTATTTGCAATTTCATAGTTGGTCTAATAAAAGGTACCATCTCTGAACCAAGAGTTCTAGAGTTTTGCATGTCTTTTTGTCTCAGACCAACACGGCTGCCAAATACATCCCATTCTGCCACAGGGCGTTCCCACAATTTAAAATCCCAGGAGCCACATTTAATTTGAACTTATCTTTGTTAAGGGTGCCTCTTACACACTACTGAAGAACTACAGATGTCATCCCCCTGGCCCCACTTTTTTTTTAACCCCCACAAGGAGTTACTTTAAAAGAAAATATAGTTCCCTGTACCCAGACTGATGTTAGTTAGATCTGGCATTGGATCTGCAAGAGCTTCGTCCTGACTGCCATGCCCAACTATCTGCAACCCACCGCAAGGGACTGGCTTTGTCTGCACACCTGCTCTGTTCATCCGAAGTTCAGTTAAATGATATGAAAGTCTGCAGTGCTAATGGCTAGAAAACAAATGCTGCTGTAGGCACTTTTCAACTCCGCTCAGTCTAATAGGGACTTTCATTCTATCTGAGATAATGGAAAGTCACAGAGGAGGTATCCAGCTCTGGTGCATGAATAAATCATTAAGGGTATGAATTATTCAGTGATGATCCACACAACCATGTGCTATATTCAGTCAAGAGACAGTATCCCTAACTCAACCATTTTTTTTCCATTTACCTGCTTCAGCACATTATAGTAGAGGCATGGCAGAATAATAAATCTGAATATCATGGAAGAGGTATTTAAAAGGAGAACACCTTTCTTTTAGTATATGTTAAGCAATAAATTATTTGAAAGACATGAGATAATGAGATGGGAACAGCACTGCTGTACCATGGGTCACTATGCAATGGCCAATTTTTGTAAGTAGGAGGCTTTGATGGAGGTAGGTTTGCACAGCAGGTATGTGGCTATATTGTGAAGAAGTATTAGGTAGTAGTCGTTCAAGAAGGTGGGGGTATAGGGTAGAAATAGGAGCTCGAGTTATGAGAACAAAATTAATAAGGAAAAACTAGAGCAATATCAGAGAGCTACCACTCCGCTGAATATTTAATTTCTTTAATAGGAACTAGACAAAGTTCAGTTCCAACACACAGCATGGCTGGCGCTTAGCTGAATCATGAGAACGTCATTGGAATAGTAACCCGCTGTAATGCACTTTTTTAATGCTAGCACTCAAATTATCTGTTTTAATTCCTGGTTTCATGCTTTGAAACTGGCTCGTTTAAATTAAGACAAGATGTTGGCTCTAGGGAACTGATGCATAGTTCTGCTAAATTTGGAACTGTTAAATTTGGCAGGAGTGTAATTCCATAGCCCAAAAATTGAGTGTCTAAGTCCAGGCTGTAGGGAGTATCTGAATGATATCAAAGCAACTTTTGCTAACATGGTTTGTTGTTTTTATCCTTATATAAAACTGAAAGCAAGATTGGCGTGATGGGTGGGGAGGGAGGACCAGAAAATACATCGACTAACTCAAAGTTAGGACTGCCTAATAGAAAAAAAATCCTCAGCTCAGTAGCCAGGAAATGGCTGGTTCATCCTGCACAGGAAATGAGTCATCTTAAAGCATCTAAGAAGAGAAGTGAAGACATAGAAGTGCTGAAATAACACGGGCAGATAACACTGGAATAGCACAGAGAGAAGTCTCATTTTGTACTGGATTAGGGAGGTTGGGGGGAAGAAAAACAGCACTGACTTCTAAAGGATTTTCACGAAATGCAAAAAGAACTTGGTTTATGCACAGAAAAATGGCATCTTGCTATGTCTGTCATATCAGATTGAAACACAGAAATCAAAATTTAAAAAGGAAACCCTGGTGGAAGTCGCAAGTAGAGCTTTCTGGTACGATGCTAAAAACTGTTCCCCAAAAGGATGGACCAGACTGTAGCCTGGCCACCAAAGCAATTCCATTTGGGGAATTTTATTTTAGGGATTTCATGACCTGGTTAGAAAGAATTGCTCCTGAAATCTTTCTAACCAGGAGCAATTCTTTCTAACCAGAAGCAATTCTACTTAAAATATATTAGGGTCTCAATTCCAAGTCCAATTTGTTCAGTAATATAAGGTTATATTACTCGTTGGATATGGTTACACAATGCCAGCTCACTGGTTTCATTTTTATTTTGTAGTGCTTGTACACTCAAAATGCAACAGGCTGATGGGGAAAAATAATCCTCTGGTCTCTAACACTGGAGATTGCTTCTCAATTAAAAAAATCCATGTCTGAGAAATATGTACAGAAAAAAAATCACCCTTAACAAGAGGGGTATTTTTTTTAAGAGTGCAAGAAATGCAAGCGAGTGTGTTCTCTTTCTCTTTTCGGTCTCGACTTTCTCTGTTCGCTCTAGACTGACTGTTTCCAGTGCTGCGATGTGGCATTGTGAATGATGTGCCAGAAAATGTTCTGGTACCTTATGGTGTAGCAGATACTGGTTTAAACAAAACCACTATTTTAACTGAAGACCACTTATGTAAAAAAAAATAAGGGGATCGTGTTTGACAAGGAGGAAAAGGAGAAGCACTGGAGTTCGCGGAAACTCTTCATGGTAGTAAAGTGGCAAGTGTGTACTTGTTTGTAGGACTGGGTATGATAAAAAAAAAACTGATGAGTACAGAACAATAGAAAGTGTATGGAATCAGAGCTCGCGGGAGAGGTGATATCTTTTATTAGACCAACTAGATCTTCGCAAAAAAAAATCTTTAATTGCAAGCTTTCAGGCACAAGCACCCTTCTTCAGGCATAGGAGAAAGGATTGTAAAAGTCCTCCTGGGTAGAAATGAAAGGGTATGGAGGTGATCTTTAGATTATAACCACCGTGAGCATGTATCATGTACAGTCCACTAATTATGTTCGAACACAGAATATCTTTCTAGTGCCTAGTGCAGGGAGACTGGACCCGACGATCTGCAAGGTCCCTTATAGCCCCTCAAATCTATGAATCTATGACTTAATCTAGAGAAAGAACATTTAAATTTTTTTTTCTCAGCTTATTTTATCTGGAAAAGAGGAGCAGCTGTCAGAAAAGCCAAGTTGTGGGGGCTGCTGATTTGCTAAGGAAGAGAGTTGCATGGAAAAGTCTCCCACAAGAAAAAGCATTATCAGCTTGAAAATCTTCCTCTAAAAGGTAAGGAAAGAGGGGCAGGGAAGGTGTCCTGGCACAGTGTGCTAATCTCTATACAAGATAGCTAACAGGAAGGGTTCAAAAAGAAAGAAAACTTGGGTGTGTCTCTCAAAGGGCTTCAACTGAGAGATGAGATGAGTAACCACAGGGGCTGGAGGGCAGGGAGAAGGCTTTTACGCAACCAGAACTCCCTGCTGGCTTGTGCTAAGTACGAAAGTTAATTCACGCTCAATTTCTTTTCCTTTGTAGCCATTTTCAGGTTTTTGGCTGTTGGGGTTGGAAAGAGAGGCAATTCCTCCCAGCAAGTTTCCTAGGGAGCGATTTTTCTTTCAAATGCTTCCCTGTATGTTACCAGGAGGCATATCTGCTGTCTGTGAAAAGGATGAAAGGATTAAAAAGTTGCTCAGTAACTTTATTACCTGAGCAACACCCTTAGGAGGAGTGAACAAATGGGTAGTTCAAGACGCCAAGAACATATCAAACCTTTTCAGTTAAAGGCTAGCAGTCAGAGGAGGCGCCTGCTTGGAACTGGATGCTATAGGAAGAAATCTGATAAACTGATTTTCGGTTGTGCAACATTTTATCTAACAGGTTCATGGGAAAGCTGAGATTGCTTGAGTCAAAATAGTAGGTCCCATTTACGGCATTCGCTCTTTCCTGTTTTTTTTAGAAACCGCACCATGACAACACAAACGACGGCTAAGAAAAAATAATCAGTTCGTTGATGGCGCACACATGTATCTGGGTTCGCTTCTGTTTTAAGCGCGGGTGATCAGTAGTTGGGGATGGCTGCACATGCCGTGGACCACTTTCGTGTTAATAACTGCTGATAAAATGGTTTTCATTCATATAAGTTTTTAGTAAATTTAGTACTAATGAAACTTATGAATGCGTTTTCTTCAAGTTTTTCCGTACTGGCCTAGGTAACTTTCATTATCAGCAGGTAAAGCTAGTTCTCTCCCACCCATAATGAGGGTTTTCCAGTATCCTATAGGTCTTCCCTTAATGACGCTGGCATAAACTAACTGCAAGACTCAGCTGAAAAACTCTCCTCGGGCAGTAAGTCTCGGCCGGGGCATACTTCAAGGAGCAGGACTGGGCTTTGTGAGATTTGGGCTTTCCCATCTGCTTTGTTGATCATAGGTTCATAGTTGTTAGGGGCTGGAAGGGACCTTGCAGATCATCGGGTCTAGCTCTAGGCAGGATCAAGTTGCTTGATCTCCTTGGGCCTCAACTCCGCAGCAGACGCATCCTTCTTCCCATCCTCTATCCATTTCATCTGAATTTCAAGCTCTTGCAGGCCTATATCTTTACTTATCCAGCGGCAGCGTTTTGATTTCAGCTGGGACCTTTGGACGCTGTTGTGATACAAGGAAGTAATAACAGGTTAAGAACTTACTTTCTTTCCCCTAGATGGTTGTGGGACACTGAGACCTTGGCAGCAACCACCAGCAGAGCGATCTGTGTGTAAGAGGAAGCGGTGATTTGTTCCAGAATTTTTATAGCTTTTCTACCTTTATTTTGCCCGCCCTCTGTTATCTGGCAGCATTAAGAAATGTGCGTAGTTCCAGGTCTGCACTTGCCCAACATGCCCGAGACAACATGGAAGCACAGTCTGTAAGGCACATATATGCCCTTAAGCTTCATCTATATTAGACCCTTCGTCTTCTTCTTTTTTAACCTCATACCACTAACAATATTTGCTGTCGTGCTGCCGATGTTTCTGTCGCTGGCCCTGGTCTATTCTAGCACTCCCGTTTTGTAATTGCTAGAGGAGACGTGCAGCGTTGCCAGCTCTCGTGATTGTTGGGCTGCTTCTTAAAGTCTACGCTTCAGGAATAGGAACAACTTAGCTCTTTCTTTGATATATATTTATAGTTATAGACACGTACAAAAGAAAGAGCTAAGTTGTTCCCATTCCTGAAGCATAGACTTCAAGAACAATGCCAAAAATCATGAGAGCTGGCAATGCTGGACATATAGATATTTCCAATACTGGACTTATATTAATGGATGTGCAAAGGCGGATCAGAATCGGGGCCTTATGGGGCTTTGTGCAGCGTAGAGACAAAATACTAATAAAGTCCCTATTGGAGGAGCTTATAGAGGGACTCCACGTGGGCACAGGGACGAGAACTGTTGCAGAATCGTGGCCTATACACATGCAGCAAAGAGAAAGGAATGAACTATTGGGTACTTGTTAGGATAGATGGAGGAAGGGAGATTTGGGGTGTAAACATCAGTCCTTCTGGTAAGCATCCTGTCATCTGCGTGGAGCAGATAAATGTTTTGCACGCCTTGGTTCCCCTCCGGCATCTGAAAACAGCCTTATCCTCTCCATGCAAACTGATTTGGTTGGGTTCATTTTTAGTGTGTCATTTTAAAAGGAACAAGCCAAGTGCACGTTACATCACTGCCTTTTAGGACTCCCCCATGCTGCACAGTAACTTGAATCTGGCATGGGCCCCTTTGCTTTGTGCCCCTACTCAAGATGGCTGCGGAATGACGCCTTCGGGCTTCGTTGCCCATGCTCAGTATGGCCGGCAAGCGTTTTCAACAGCATACCCACATTCAACATGGCTCCCTCCGTGAGTCTCTGACCCATCCTAAAGATGGCGACTCCATGTGCACGTTGGCGCTCGCGCCCGCATTCAAGATGGCGTCCCAGTAGGCTGATTCCGTTTTTTTCCTGCCCCCATCCAAGATGGCGCCCTAGTGTGGCGCATGGGCTTCTTTCCCGCTCTCAAGATGGCGCCCTGAAGAGGCCTCCCCCGACGCTTCTCCAATGGCGCCGCACACTCCCCCTTTGCCTTGCCCCGAAACTCTCCGGCAACCAATGAGCTTCGCAGAAGGAGCCCCGGAGCCCTCCCCCGGTGGCAGGGGATGGCCGCCTCGTTCGTCAGGTTGACAACCGCGGGAGCCAATGGGGGGCGGCGCGGGTGAGGCGGGCCGGGCGCCGCCGCCATTTTGTGAGTCTATAACACGGAGCCGTTGGGTTCGTTCCTGCTATTCCGGCGCCTCCGCTC